ATCTTTTCTCTCAAAGGGACAGAGCGAGAGTTAGAAAATGAGGCTGTAAATTGAGACATCACAGCTGCGATGGTTTGGAAACGTCGTTCGGTTGCTTCCAGAAATAGAGACGAGACAGCCACCACTTGCTTAAGCGATCGGTCGAAGATCGCGAGGAAGACAAAGAACATTTAAGCAAATGTCTGGTAATACTCTGCTCCATACTCGGTTATCTTCAGCTAAAGCCCAAAGACTCGCACAAGTTCAGGAACGCTTGGAATACGGTTGACCGTCTTCCTCCGTGACTTCGAAGTTTGACAAACAGGCAGATATCTTCGAATTGTGTTATCATCCAGAATGGTATTTTATCCAAACATGTAATCTAAATTATTCGCTTTTCAGCCTATACCTTATGCTGAAATTGTTTCGAGGTTCAGTCTGTTCTTCTAGTATTTTGGTTTTTCTGCATTGGCGCTATACCCACCTATTACCACAAGTATCTGCGCTGTTTGCTGTAGGTTTGAGTTTACACTGTAATTTGGGTGTATGCTGAAACAAGCGATAATGAGGTAAATACTACACATTGCCGGTCTAAATTAAACTACGAAACAATTTCAGTCAGTTCTTGAATTGCGAATTAATTTCAATGTATGTCGGAATAGACGGATTACCCATCAGAACAGTAGCAGATGCATACAAGGCTGCTGGTTGACACCTGCCACTAATATGCGTCAAAACAGCCTGCCCTAAAACGATAGATTACTGGCTATAGTGATTTGAAGTATAAAGATATAACTCCTTTTTCTTACTATGATCAAGTCTGTTTCATCAGTCTGTTCACCTAGATCACTTCTCGCTGCCGCCCACTGCTAAACAGTTCAGAAGCTTATTGTTTGACTTCTGATACTGAGTATGATTTAGATTATCGTTTAAAGACAGCAAGCTGCCGAAGGAGGTCGAAGATGGCTCACTGAAGCCCAACGACTCCACCGAGGAGACCAAGCTGCAGGACGTGTTGAAACGAGTAAAGACTTTTCATTATGTGACAGTGCCGATGTTGGTCGATCAGAATCGCTACAGCGCGGTGCGGCTTATGTTGCTGGCTTGCCGATGGATGGAGCGATGCCCTCAGTTGAGAGAGGCTTCGCAGCTGTTTCTCTCCTCTGAGTTGAAACGCATTGGACCAAATGGGCGAAAAATTCTTATCGACGACTGGGCTATGCTCCTTCCGCTGGTCGTCAGTCCGGCAACCAGCATTTTCGACACGCACGTTTTGAATCCACCTGACGGGACAACGCGTGGGGTGTCAGCGGAAGAAACAGTTTCGAAGGAAACTTCTAACGGCAACGCGAAAGTTGTCAATCTTGGTAAATATTCTTGGTTTGTATGTTGGCAGTTTCGTTGAACCTACAGCTACTCATGACTTTCAAGAAATAAATGCTCAATAGGATTTCAGGATGATAAGATAATATCGAAGTGCTTGTGTCACAGGCTTTAAAGTTGTGTTCTGTGAGTAACCGTCAGCATTATTTCTGATGGTCAGTTGTAGCGTTTTGCTCTGTTCTTCCTCTGATTGGGGTTGCTCATCGGTAAAGCGTCAAGCTCAGAATCGAAAGATCTAGGGTTCCAGCCGGGGTCAGATCACTCTGAGGTTGTTAAATGAATATCAGTCTGTTAGAAGGAAATAGAAGACTCTGTACTGTCCTTGTCGTACAGTTGCTATTGACTCTGCCTTTAAAATAAGACGCTCCTTCTCGATGGCATGTAATTTTCCATTTCCATGTGAATAGCTTTCAGGCGTATTATTAACTCTCTCTTCCATAAATTAATACTGAGAGTACACCCTTATTTCAAGCAGAAGGGTGGTTTCCCGGGTGAGAACATTTTCAGTCTTCCAAAAGTATGCCATGCCGTTTTTATTCTTGTGTTGATTTAACACTATGGATTCTTTTTTGCAGAGGCAAGTAATCCCAGATAGATGTAGTTTTGCACTTCTTCAGGTTTAAGTCCTTTGACTTAAGCAGGTCGGGGAATCAGTTATTGCTCAGCATCATGACTTGAGTCTTATTCCCGTTCATTTCCAGTTCTAGTTTGTTGCTGGATTTTCGATTCCTGCATTTTTCTTTGGAGGTCTTTTGACGACCTTGAGAAGATCAGAATATCATCCCAAAACCGCAGATGGCCTGAATAGTTACTGTTTGTCTGCAGCCCCTGATTTACGTAACGGAGTGTCTTTAAAGCCTCTGCTAGGGTTGCTATCAATGAGTTCAGGCATACTACATCATCATGTCTTTCTCGGTTTTAAACTTGTTTTCGCTTCTTTTAAAGCTTCCTTCACACTAGCGGTTGCATTCTGATTTTGGAACACATTGCAACACTGTTTTTTTCGGATGGTCCTCGAATGCTATCGGACGATCATATATCCATCCATCAGTTGCACTGAGCATGTGCTTTATGGTGATATACGTATAGCAGTGCTTAACATTGGCCGTTAAACGACGGATTATGGCTTCCTCAAATTATTCATTCATAGCCTCATATGTTAATCATTACGTTGCGGTACTAAAATTGATTCATTTGTAAAGTCTAACTTCTGAAAATGTCGACCTGAAACTGCTATCTCACCTGTATGAGTGAAATGACTGTATGAACTGATTCATTTATCAAGTTAATTCCCGCGTTTCCCAAGGGCTATCTCAATGAAACCTGAAATTAAATCTAGACATGCTGTGTGACAGTTTATTTTTCGA